TGTTTACCGCCCCCAGGGGGCGATAGTTGTACGTTTACAAAAACACAAATGTAACAAAGACTGCTGTTTGCACTCGACAATGTGTGGAATCACTGTGTGTCAACAATGCTTCTCAAATTGGCCCCATAAAGCTGCGTCATCCCGCTCCGCTGGTGAAGGACAGTTCAATTTTCACATCAAATCCTGTCTGTAATCGACCTCTGTGGGAGCGGGAAAAGCTATGTTCTCCCGCTCTGCTGGAGAACAGCAGCTTTCCTCCGGCGGCAGACATGATGTTCGGAAAGCCTCCCGTTTCGCTAGAGGGCAGCAGCTCCCCCTCCAGGGCACTGAGCGGTTGCCTCGCAGCGAAACTTCACCTCTGGCTAGCATGCACAGTGTCCCCCTGGGTCAAGCGCACTGTTGCCATGGGTTACCGACTGCAGTTACTGGTCAAACCACCCGTATCTACCTCTGTTGTGCAGACATGTGTAAATACCATCGACATATAAATATTGGACAATGGGTTTCCATAGGCTCCAATAACACTTTTTTGAGGAGAAATGGGAGGTGGCCACCACCTCCATTTTGACCATGTCACAGGTTCCGTCAAGCCCAGACAATTGCACAAAAGGGAAGAGAGGTGGAGCTGAGGGTGGGGCTGTAAGGCTGGGATCAACTGACGACACCCGGTCGAACTAGCTACAAGCTAACCTGAAGATAACCCAAAGCTAACGCGGAGGTGGGAGCTAAGCTAACGGAGGTAGCAACCTAGCTACAACCGTAGTTAACTGTGCACAACACCAGAGCTTCTGAATCAGAGATACGCCGGGCTGACCGCTGGGTAAAACCGGGTGTAACACAGAGGTCTGCGAGACCTCCACAAGCCGGCAGCCGCACAGCAGACAAGCGCCGCTGCGGTCTGAGATGTGCAGAGCTGCCGCTGTGGAGAACCGGGTGGAAAGGTTTCCATCCCAGAGCTCCAAGCTGGTAGCCCGCGCAGCAGACAGGAGCCGCGGTCAGACAGAGATGCGCCGAGCTGCAGGGAAGGGAGAACCGGGTGGAAAACAGAGGTCTCCCGAGAGCTACACAGGCCGATAGTCGGAACCAAGCTCCACCAACATGTTATATTTCAACCCATTTTCTAAAGTGCTGCATTATGTTAAATGCACTGGGTTTTACCATATTACATTCAAATTTCATGGTTAAAATCTAAGCTCAGCTCGGCAGTGACCTAAAATACATAAATATAATTTTACTTACCAAAAAATGAAGTGGAGACTCCTTGGATGCTCTATTTGTGCAATTAATACCACAGCAAGTTATTTTGTCAAACAATTGCACAAATAATATCCAAAAAAGAACGCACAAACGCTACAACTAATGGTCTAAGTTGAGAGATTGAAAATGACCGAACAGTTTTCAGGCGAGGCCGAGGCTCAGGCTGAGGCCTTTCCCCGGAGCTAGCTCTGCGGTCATGTGGGTCTGATGTTCATTAATTATACAGAATTGTAGGCTTTTAACACACTTAAACAGTAGAGTGAGAAAAAACTTCTCCACCCTCAGAGTCAAGCAGAGCGCGTCTCTCAGTCCAGCGAATAGCCGCGCTATGCAGTTGCTTAGCGCACTTTCAGCTGGGAGCCAGACTGACACTCCGCACAGCTCTACAGCTGCTGGGGATGATGGCTTCCTCCATAGCCGTGGTGCCTCTCGGACTGTTAAAAATGTGACATTTCCAGTGTTGGGTCCGCTCTCATCATCTCCATCCTTCACGTCATCTCCGCCGGAGGTTGACGGTCACCAGAGCCTGTACGGTAGCTCTCCTCTCATGAAGAGAACCAGGGCTGTTCTACCAGGGTTCCCCTAACAGGAGGGTGTCAGAACGCATAGTGGTGACCACAGACGCTTCCCTCAGAGGCTGGGGGGGCTCTGTGTGGGGGTTTAGCGGTGAGAGGGGTATGGTCCTCGACCCAGTCAAGGTTCCATATCAACTTTCTGGAACTGTTAACTGTGTTTCTGGCCCTGAAACACTTCAGTCATCACCTGAGAGGACAACATGTGCAGGTGCGCACAGACAACACAACTGTGGTGTCATATGTAAACAAACGGGGAGGAACACGCTCTCTTCCTCTACTGAATCTGACCCACACTTTGCTGCACTGGTGCAATCTGAATCTCCTGTCTCTCAGAGCAGCTTATGTCCCCGGGTACCTCAACCACGGGGCAGACTTGCTCTCCAGGGGCGGACCTCTGTCAAAGGAATGGATGCTTCACCCCGAGGTGGTGTCCCAGAATTGGCTGAGGTTCGGCAGGGCAGTAGTGGATCTGTTTGCGTCAAGCGCAAACACACACTGTCCCCTGTTCTATTCCCTGATGCATCAGACTGCTCCAATGCAATCAGATGCTCTGGCGCACCCTTGACCCAATGTTCTCCTCTATGCTTTTCCGCCGGTGGAACTGATTCCAGCAGTACTGGAGAGAGTGAGCAAGTCGAGCACATCTCTGATTTTGGTGGCCCCTCAGTGGCCCAAAAAGTCTTGGTACCTGGAGATCATCAGTCTGATGATAGTCCCCCCATGGAAGCTCCCCATCAGACAGGACCTTCCGTCACAGGCACAAGAGGAAGTGCTGCACCCTTGCCCACATCTGTGGAAGCTGCAGGCCTACCTACTGAGAGGTCCAACTTATTAGCTAAAGGTCTTCCCCCGGCTGTGGTGAATACTATTCAGAGCTCAAGATCATGCTCCACTAGGGGTTTATATGCCTATAAGTGGAAGGCTTTTGAAGTGTGGTGTCTGAGCAGGTCAGTAGTTCCCTCACAGAGCTCCATTGTGGACATTCTGTCATTTCTACCGGATCTGCTGGACAAGGGCTTGCCATTCTCCACTTTAAAGGTCTACCTGGCAGCCATTTCGGCTTGCCATGAATCTTTTAATGGAGTTTCTCCTGGCGCTCACCCTTTAGCCATTCGGTTCATGAAAGGGGTTCACAGACTGAGACCCGTTATTAGATCGTCTGTCCCTTCTTGGGGCCTCGCTTTGGTGCTGGAGGCCCTGTGTGGTCCCCCATTTGAGCCTATTGAATCGATCAGTATGAAGCTTCTGTCTTAAAAGACAGCTCTGCTCTTAGCCCTCGTATTGGCTAAAAGGGTGGGAGACCTTGCTCTTTCAGTTCACCCTTCCTGTCTGAAAATGTCATCAGATGGAGCTAGGGTCACTCTGCATCCGAATGCTGCATATTTGCCTAAGGTCATCCCGCTCAACTACGGTTCCATGACCATAGAGCTTTCGGGCTTCAGTAGTCCTCCTTTTGCCTTTGAGGAGCAGAGGAGACTGCATTGTCTGTGCCCGGTTCGTGCTCTGCAGGCTTATAAAAGTCCCACTCGGAGTATCAGAAAAACAGACCAACTGTCTGTGTGTTTTGCCAAACCCTCCATGGGTAAAGCTTTGTCGAAGCAAAGTCTTTCTCATTGGATTGTGGAGGCCATTTCCCTGTATTACAGCATCACTGGCTCCCAGCTGCCCCTAGGGGTCAGGGCACACATTACACTCTATTAGAGGTGTGGCTGCTTCTTGGGCGCTGTTCAAAGGTGTTTCAGTTGGTGACAATGGCTCAGCTGCAAGCTTGGCTAGACCCCACACCTTTGTGAGGTTTTACCGCTTGGATGTTTTGGCCCCTTTGGTGCCCCATGCGGTTCTCTCTGCTGGATCTAACTTGCCATCTTAGGTTGCAATCTCAGGCCAGGCTTCATAGCTGCTCATGGGGCATTTCGATAAGTCCCATATTACCTTCGTTGTACCGAGTGAATCGACTGAAAGGGAACATTAGGTTATGCGTATAACCACTGTTCCCTGAAGGAGAGGAACGAGGTACAATGCAGGGCTGCCCCATCCACAGCCCAGCTCGGTGAAGAGCGGCTATCGAACTGAGGAATGACAGTGACACGGTCGCTTGTAAGTGAAGGGCGGGGCCTCCACGCAGCGTCACTTTCATTTGCCTTACAGGCGTGATAAAATGTGTCTTCAGCCAGGCCACATGAGGGCGTGATGTCCCATAGTACCTTCGTTGTACCTCGTTCCTCTCCTTCAGGGAACAGTGGTTATATGCATAACCTAACGTTAGCAGCCTTGAAACAGCTTGATGAACAACTATCCCCACATGTTTTAAAAATGCTAATAAAATGTTTCTGCTATGCTAAATAATGATTTCTCTATAGAACTACAAAGTCCGACTGGGGGAGGAGAGTAAGGTCTGCACTGTGGAGGGGGGCGGAGTTTACAGCTCCTTCTCCAGATTTAAAGAAACAGTACCCAAAAATGGCTCATTCTCAAGACTCCTCAGAACAGGGGTAGATGAGGGTCTGTAGAGCAACAATAATGAGGAAATCAGACCAAACTACAGTTCCACTGTATTGAGACCCTAGCTGAAGGATTTAGATGTAAAAAGGAATAACTTAAAAGCATGTTAAGTCTCCTTTAAAATATGACAGATCCATGGTTTAGTTTTTGAGATGTGAATGTTTGTTTGACACAACTGACCTAACTTAAGAGTCATATTATGCAGAAATAATATTTAAAGTTTCACCATGGTAGAAGATATGTGAGGTTAATTGATCTTTCTATGGAGGAGGTATTGGTTTATATTGGTATTGGAAATTAAGAGATATACCATATTGGTATATTAGTAAAATAAAAAGCTGATTTCGAACATCCCTAGTTTTTACTGTTTTCATTTTTTAAAATTGTATACGGCTTGTATTTAATTTAGTGCCTTGTAGGGTTCTACAACCCCCCACCCCCCATCCCCAAGGCATTTTATTACACAGTCATTCACCCATGCACACACACATTCACACGCTGGTGATGATGCGCTACATCACAGCCAGAGCTGCCTTGGGGCGCACTAACACCAGTCACTCCGAACATCACCAGCAGGCTAGATGACAGAGTGGTGCTTAAATTGTGACCCTCCAGTTACTGGGCTAGGGCTCTTAACTCCTCTTTCACTATACAAAATCCACAAAGTGGTGTAAAAATTAATTGTTTATTAAACAGCAGAATCCAACGGTGTTTGTAGAAAATGTGTCTAACAACACAAATTTGGAAACAATTTACATTTTGTGCATCACAAACCTTCAGGAAAAAAAAGTTTTACGGGACCCCCCCCCCCCCACACACACACACACACAAATATAGACTGGTTAAAATCACGTTGGACGTGAACATGCTCTTACTCTACAGTCACACTTAAGTCTCTCCAGACCTTCATCTGAAAACTTTATCGACCAACACTGTAACGGTCACAAAAATAAACTTAAAATCAACATATAATGGAAAAAGTATTTATATAAAATGTTTAATGTGATTTTTTGTTTTTATTATTGCTGAATTTTAAATTCTCAGATTTATATACAACACAGTATTTATTAGGAATCAAGCCTTTAAGAAAATAAAACTGCCAGTTTTGATTGTGAACTCTTTGCAAACTCATAAAATAAAGAACGATTAGAAAAAGACACCCCTAAAATGTTACAGTCACACTTTTAATACGTCATTCCAAGGCCTTGTCTATAACTAAACCAGGAATGTCTTCCTTTGACTCATACACAAACAGCTGCTGCTTGTTAAAGCAGCTTTACAACATGTTGTCTCTGAAAGATTTAAAAAAACTAACAAGGAAGTACACAGAACACTTCAAATCTTAAGATAATGTCATATGATGCCTTGATGTTCGTGATATTCAATTATATGTCAGTGTAAACAAATAAATAAATTATTTACAACACTAGCAAAAAGAAAAAGTAACCAAAAACAGGAGAAGCTTAAATAATTTACAATAAGAAATTATGGTACAGACTTAGTATAAACATCTTTGGCACTCAAGTTGCTCCATTGGAAAAACACACATACAGGCTGAGGAGAACGTTGGAAAAACTAATTGATTACTTTAGTTTTAGGTTTTGTGCTTTTATTCGGTCAACAGATGACTGAAGACAGAGAAAAACCAAGTCACGAGTTTCTGATGCTAAACAAATGCAGAGAGGCACAAACTTATTCCCTTGCAAGTAAGTGGTCACATAAAAGCCGGTCCCACTACAACAGTCCCGGGAAATTTCTGGAACGGGGAAAGGTGACAGGGAAAATACAGTGGCTCGGTCCTCTCAGCCATACAAAATCAGCCCTAAAGGGCTTTGCTAAGACGTCGGCATATAGGGAGCCTAAGTCACGCCCATCTACTTCCGGACCATGGGTCCCTGGAAGAACGAAAAAATCAATGCAAGTCAATGGGGCTAAAAACGCTATTTTCTAATACTGCTTGTTTTGTGCCATGGATTTCACATATGATGTCCGTGAATTTTAAAGACACATTTTGATACCAAGAACACACTTTTTTTCTAACGGGGGAAATGCTATTTTATGTTTTGTGTGAAAATAAGTCCAGGACTACAAATGTGCTTCACGAAAGTGACGTCATGGAACCAGACATGGAGAAAACTGAGGGAGAAGGGCTGTAAGTTCAGCGAACTATCCACAGGAGGAAAGAACCACCATAAATCTGGCCATCTGGTAAGTAGCAGCTACTTTGGGGAGAGGAGATTCTGTGGTGACGTGCCGATTTCTGGTGTGTAGTCGTGCTAATTACGAACTTTTACAAGCTGATAAATCTCAAAGTGCGTGACTGGCGGGGTCGAAACACCCATCCTTACTTTTCATTTAAATCACAGTACAACATATGTGTGATCCAGGGCGTAAGGCAAAGCGGGTTAGAAAATAGCGTTTTTAGCCAAGTTGACTTGCATTCATTTTTTTTTCTTTCTTCCGGAAACCCATGAGCCGACCAGAAAGGGAGGAAACTTAGGCTCCCTGTCGTGACGGTCTCAGCAGTGGCTGATGTCACTGATCAGTGCCAAAAGTCCTTTGCAGGAATTAATAACATTTAAAAATGGTTATTCTGCAAAGTACAACATAATTTACTCCATTCTGTGGAACAGGTAGCGCTGCAGTGTGATGAAAAATGCAACATTCAGGTACCAGAATAAGTGCTGCTTTTTACAGTGCTCTGTAGGGAATACAAAGCAGCCAAAATTATGGCGTTGTGGGAGGATTTGCACTGAATTTTTGGGTATCGGGAGTTCAAAGAGGCAATTTTAAAGCAAAATGAATTCTGACTGTGCTTCCTTCTTTCCACTCTGTTTCACCAGCAACTCTTCCAATTTCATAAATGGCGGCTGTTTAGTGACATCTGCTGATATAACTTCCTACTGAGTTACAACCAATCAGCACAAGGTTGTCCTACCCAGCAACTCTACCGGGCCATTTCCAAGTACATACCCCAGTACCCCAGTAGTAATACTTGGCTGGTCCCTGAAATGACCCTGAAAATAATCCTTTTGGGCCAGCCTGGTGAAATGAGGACACGCGTATGCGGCAAAGTTCTGGCAAAATTACCCGGAAGTTCCTATAATGAAAAGACGCGCACTGAGTTCAAAATGTAAAACAGGTGATCAGTTAGACATTCTGTAAAACTTTTTGGAAAAACATTCTCTCCCATCAGTTTTTCTTTTCTTTCTCAGCATAAAATAAATGTCCAAGTCAGCAGGGAAACTGAAATCTGCCATGCGACATCCTGCAGTCGATGGTTAAAGCATGCAAGAATGCAAAGTCTTGTTTACGTTGCTTCAGCGATGACGTGAAGTCGATTCAAAGAGATTCTCATCTTTAGCCATGTGACATTTTTCCTTCCGACTTTAAATTCAGTTATCTGCAAAAAGAATGGTAACATGGGCATTATTACTCTGACATTCGGGTGTAAAAGTTTTAAAATATTTATAAGAATTCACTGGGAAAAGTGCCAGGATGCAGGAACAACATGTGCAGAGGACGCATTAAAGAGTGTCTTGTGTGCCACAAGCTCATTTTCCACTGTTTAGCACTCAGTGAAGGATCTGAAGTCTTTGGACTGACGCACAAAGCCTTTCACAATGCATCTGGGACATTGTGCTTTGGGCAAGCTGACAAGCAGAAATAACATACTTTTCTTGCAAAATTCAAAACACAAACTCTCTGATCATTACCTTGTGAACACTTCTGGAAACTGCGGCTTATCTGAGATTTGAAAAATATATTGAAGGTTTAAAGACTTTCACCACATTTAGAAAGCAGGGAGAGGGTTGTCTCTCCAGTTGTCTAATCTGTGTTATCTATAGTACATTATTCAACATTTGTGGATTACTTAATCTGTACAAATTAGGCAAATTTAAAAACACCAAGAACGATTATTGAATTCTGGATCTGTTATGCATATGTTTTTCCCCTTGCAGATTTCTTCTGTTTTTGCTTAATGATCACTCAAACTTTTCCAAATTAGCAAACAAATACAACATTTGACTAAAATCACTAACCTAGAAATCTAGCCACACTCATTTGTAGCCTCAGCAGGTCTAACATTGTCCCATACAGTTTTGTGTGCTGCCAATCACAGCACTCTATAGCCCTTTTTAGAAGACACACCGTGCCGGGAAATCAGCGTACTACTGCCACCACAGTGTCTTATGAACGAGCTGTGGCGGCATGGCGTTTCGGGAATTTTACGGCATTCGTGCCGCCACGCTTGGTAGTAATATTACGGTAACGCTGGACCTGTGAATGCATATTACGCCTTGGTGAAACAGAGATTCATGATCACATGGGGAATTACTGCCGAGCCTTTGTTTAAAAAGGAGCGGCTTGTTAAAAACCATAATGAGCGTGGCTCTAATCGCAATAAAAAGCAAGTTTTGACCAAGATAATCAAAATTCTGCAGCAGCGCAGGGATCGCCCCCATACCCTCTTTATACCACCACTGCGTAATCTTCTGTAAATAGCCCAGTTACACGTGGACACAATTTGAAAGACAACTAGATTTTGTCCCAAGACTGGCTTGTTTCAATGGGTCGTGGCCAGACTATATTCTTACATATATAGGGTGACTTGCAAGGCTATAAGATTACCAGAGTGAATACAAAATGCAGACTTTAAATGATGACTTCCTATAACAAGAGCTTTATTCCCTGGATAGATGAAAGCATCAGTGGTAAACTACAATTAGAGTCTACTCTGGTTATTTTATTTTTATTTTGACATTTGTTTGCTGATCTGAATAAATATAAGTGTGACAGCAAAGCAAAGAAGAAATCTATAAGGTGGCAAATACCTTTTCAAAGACACACGTTTTTCTCTTTAACAAAGTTCCAGCTTACCTCTACATTCATACTTGAGGTCGGAGAAGAAGACCAGCTCTTGTGAGAAGACGAACAAACCTAACCTGCCTCCAGCAAATGTTTTATCATAAACAGGTCCCGAGTCAGCCATGATCTGTTTCCCTTCATAGACCACAACCCTACAAAACAAGTACCCTAATATTAAATGATATTTACAGTAGGTATGACTGTATGTAAGCAGGTAGTCAAGTAATCTAACCTTATAAAACCAGTTTTCGGTCTATGGATGAGATGCCACCTGTAAGCTGTGTAATCCTTCCAACCAATATTCTTGGGGTCGTGCCACAGAGTGCGCACCTAAGCAAAACAGTCAACAACATTTAGCATTAAAGCAACCTTTTAAACCGACCACATAGCATTTAGATTGTGATTTACCTGCCCTGCGGTGTTGCCCGTGTGCCATAAAGCATTTCGGAGATTCTCTCCGGTTCCCGTAGTTGAGTTGACAACTTTGAGTGAGACACCTGAGATACCAAAAGCTTTGGAGGGCTTGTCCTCCCAGTAAGTCTGTGTAATCTGCTTCCACATTACCACGTAAAAGCGTCCGCTGGACTGATACCCAAACACAAAGCCAGCATAGTCATCATCTCTGTCCGTGTTCACATACATCGTCCCACTGAAGTCCACAGCATTGAACTCGTCAAAACCTGTAAAGATGAGAAGAAAATACTTATGCTGATTTCTGGGATCCTTAAAGTCAAAATGGGCTTGAGAAGCAATGAGTTCAAATGAAATGCTGCTCACCTACTGCGATGCCTGGGTCAGAGTTGGCTGTCTGAACTAACTCTTTGCCCTGATGTCTGACCACCCAGTTGGGATCAATTTGAGTGGTTCCTTTAGGATCCAAGTGGACCATCTGGAACTTCCTGAAATCGGTCACACTAATGGCATTGTTCTCTGGACACACATCAAGGATATCTGGGATGTTGTCGTTATCAAAATCATCTTTGCATGCGTCCCCTCTTCCATCACCTGTTTTGAGTAAAGCAAAAACACATCAATAAGGTTGACCTAGTTTTGAACAGGATGGAAAAATAACTACAGCATCTAGTGCGGGCATCGTAATACTGCCACTTCAGTGGTTGTTGAGGAGCTCTCGCCAAGTTAATAAGAAAAATGAATGGAAAAATGACAATCCCTCACAGGAAACTAGCTTTAATACCCTAGCCAAGTGTGCTGGAGGAAAGTAGTACTCCCTTTTTTATGCAGTGACAATTTCCACTGGCACTTGCAATGCAAAGCCTGAAGTGTGTTGGCAGCTGGAGTGCAGGCCAGGAACTCCGGGAGAAAATAACGCCAGTGGCTAATGAGGAGCACCGTGTGGACGCCGCTAACTTCCTTTTGTCAGTTTGTTATTGTACAAGGGGCTCAAATGGTTATATTGAATTAACTCTATCTGACACGATTTTAAAGGGTGTGAAAGCATCACATCAAAGGCCTTTCTACGTTCAGCTCTGTTTCCTTTTACAGACAGCTGTACAAACTCCAGGTAATCTGGCTTAAATAAAGCACTTTGGATTAATCATGCAAAGTTGGAAGGAAATAAAAACTTCACAACCTGGCATGTACACCCCTGGCCACTAACTGAAGCCACGCAGAATGACATCACTTGTACCAAGCCAGTTGTTGACTCAAGCCACAGTCACTATATTTTACACCTGCCGCTGAGAGACTAATTTCTGAGCATCTGGGAGGAATCAAAACATCACTGAGTAGTGAAGACAAATATTAAGTACACTGAGTTTCTAGGAGTCAGACTGTTGATTCATACAAACAGAACATACTGAACAAAAGCCACCTATTGATGACCTAACTTCGACAGGAAAACGGGTATGCAGGAACACTTAAAATGCGAACTTCTCACCATCAGAATCCAACTGGTCTTCATTGGGTGTCAATCTGCAGTTGTCCTTCTCATCAGGTATACCATCATTGTCATCGTCATAGTCACACGCATCTCCTTTCCCATCCTTGTCATGGTCTGCCTGGTTGGCATTGGCCACATAAGGGCAGTTGTCTAAGTTGTTTTGATAACCGTCTTCATCAATGTCCTGGTTATTATCACACTGATCTCCAACCAGGTCATTGTCCACGTCAGTCTGTTGGAAGATAAAACATGTCTTGCTTATCTTAGCATTTCACACATCAGCTATACAAGATATACAAGCCATAGCTGTATAACTGTACCTGGTCTGGGTTGTGAAGCAAGGGACAATTGTCACATTGGTCACCGACTCCATCCATGTCTGTGTCCTTCTGGTCAGTGTTGTACACATAGGGACAGTTGTCATTCTCATTAAGAATTTCTGATGAAAAGAAGAAAGATACATTTAAAAAAAAGATTTGCTAAGTTTACCTAAAATTCGGACTTAGGCTTAACTAGTTTACCATCTCCATCAATATCCACCGCACAGGCATCGCCTTCACCGTTGTGGTCTGTGTCTATTTGAGCAGGGTTGTGCTCATAAGGACAGTTGTCACAACGATCACCAACATCGTCTTTATCAAAGTCAAACTGGCGAGGATTGTACAAAAGGGGACAGTTGTCCTGTGGGAGAATGCACACGCCCATTAGGAAGCAGTTTGACATAACTGGAACCTAAACTTTTAAGTGATTTATCTAAAGAGGAGTTCATTCTGAACACTGACGTTGGTTTATGAACCCAAAACATGTCCATACCCTATCATCCAGAATTCCATCATTATCATCATCTTTATCACAAGCATCTCCTTGACCATCTTTGTCAAAGTCTTCTTGCCCAGAGTTTGGTAGATTGGGGCAGTTATCCTGAAATGATAACAGGAGTGAGTCGTTGAGATGTTTTGCCAGTTAAAGTTCAGCGTCGCTACAGAAAAACACCAAACTTGACCACAAGAAATACCTTTTTACAGTGATAAGTAGCATTGGCATCGCACACAAGGTTCTGATTGGGCCACCCATCCAAATCTGAGTCTTCACCACAAATGAAGCCATCTCCAGCATAGCCAGTGCGACACTCACACTTGTACATTGGGTCGCTGAAGTGGCTGATGTAGATGCATTCGGCATATTTGTGACAGCTGTGAGTTTTTTCTTTACATGGGTTCTCTGGTTCACATACCTAAAACAAAAAAGATAAAAGATGTCCTTTTCACTAAGCTTTCTTGTCAGTTTCCAATTACACACAGAATGTGGAAACAGTTATTTTATTTTCTGTTCCCAGTAGGTCTCTTCTCAAAAGGCTGTTTTAAGATTGAAGGATTCTTAAAATGAAAGCGACAAGTTGGAGGAGAAACTAAAGTACAGGACACAGTAAATGTGATGAAATCCTATTTGAGACCATCACGCATCTCGCTGTAAACTACTATTGCACCTCTATTGCTGCACAACATATCCACAGCTGCCCTTTGTTACCACAGGATGAACTTAACTGCAGTTTGTGACTCCGTGAGCTCATGGAGCCCAATGGGAGAGCAAGACCGGGCCTTTCATCAAAACTGTAAAATGGAGCATCTTAATGCCAGAAATGAGACAATTCCCTTTTTTTCCAAATCAGTTTGTGAACCTGGGGCTGCGCCAAAATAAGGTCACAGACAGGAGGCTTCAGAGGATAAAGAGTAGTAAAATAAACCTCGAGGGATGATAGGCAGCTTTTTTTAATTGTTTTTTATACTTTTTGGTTAGTTTCCCTCAAAATGTAGTTGCTAAGTGATTACATAAAGGAGAAAATAGCTGTGTTTCAGTCAAAAGTAACATTTGATGTCATATTACATGAAAATGGAAAGGATATTACTTCAACAGGTTGAGCGTACCACTGATCCTAATAGAACCACAGGGCTCAAATATGTTACTGCTGACAGGAGTTACTCCCATTCTCCTCTGTCTTTCTCTACTTACGTATACCAGAGCAATCTGACATCCCAGAACTCCCATCATATCATAAAATCCTCAAATCTGCTTCATTGCTTCCTGAGTGATTTTTAAATTTGAATCTGACATAAAAAATAAAAAAATCCCATCATATGCTTTTGAAATTCTGCCTCAAAAGGATAAATCCACTTCAGATCATTTACAGAAGAAGGTGCAACAACAGTCTCACTTGTTTGTTCCTCTTGGCTGCTTCAATCCCCATCCCATAAGGCTGTGTGCCTTTGTAACGCTTCGGACAGGGCAGACAGTGGAAACCTGGATCAGTGTTGACGCATCGCTGCGTTCCACTCACTTTATAGCAAACATCAGACACCATGTCACACTACAAAAGGAAAAACAACGGATCACCAAAATGAGAATAAATATAGGAACAGATGAATGGTCAGACAAATATGGAAAGCCGGGACTTTTACCTCATTGATATCCTCACAGTGGGTACCATTTCCACGGAAACCAGCAGGACATGGGCCACACTCCCAAGATCCATCTGGGGAGCTGCTGCAGTCAACTCCACCAAAGCAAGGGTTAAACAGGCAGCCATCTGAGGGGAAAGAAACATTAAAAATACCTAAATAAACAATTATATGTCAAACTGATTCAATTTACCTCAATAAAACTTTTCTCAACCTTGCCTCAAAACAACTATGCACTGAATTGCATTTGTACAAAACATTGCTGGTAAAACCTCCAGTAGATGAAGATTACTTTTGTCTTGACCAAACTCTCACTTACCGATGGGGCAATCCTCCTTGTTACAGCTGTCACTGTCATTAGGCTCCCCAATACACTTCTTCCCACCATACTGAGGTCGAGGGCTGTTACACTCCCGTGAACGACTTTTGACCCCTCCTCCACATGTCGCAGAACAAGTTGCCCAGGGAGACCAGGGGCCCCAAGCACCATCAACTAAAAAGTAGATTTCAATTCCGTTCAACACATCTTCAGTCTCTTGAACTTTGAGAAAAACAAAGTCAGAATGAAACTAAACCCGAGCTACATAGAAATGGAAGAGAATACCTTAATTAAAACATGTTTGCACAGAGCACGGTAGCAGCTGCATCATGATGTGGTGATGTGTTTGGTTTTCAACAGATGACCCGGATAGAAATTCCCTTTTTAACATGTCAACGGCCCTGAGTTAAAGCATCACTAATGTTTTGGCATGGAGGAAAAATTTACATGGCTTCAAACTGGGACTGGGCGATATGGCCTAAAATACATCACGATAGAGAGAAGAGATAACGATAAATGGATAACTACATGCATGCACAAAAACAAAAGTTGCCCACTGGATGAGGCTGTCATGTGTATTACACTGAGTCATGTTCTCATGTGACTCGAGGTGGTACAGCTTTTTAAAGTGACACGAACCTCGCCAACCTACACACACCTTTTTATTTTAATTTTATCATCAAATGTATTGACACGGGGAAAATCACATCGGTTAAAGTCAGACATTTAGATAATGATACGTTTTCAACACATTGTCCAGCCCATTATTTCAAGCTAACGTAGAAACAGAGTTATGTAAAGAATGCTGTACACCAGGAGCATTTGTTTATAAATACAGTAGAACAACCATCTTTAAAAATGAGCTAAATGGGTTGATAAAAAAGTTTGCCTATATTTTTAAAAACATGCAGTTTCTTGAAATGCCTGCAACTGTAGGTATTGAAAACTGACCAAGTAAAAACTTTTTGGACACATTTTTTAAATTTAAAGTCGGATATTTTAGGGGTGGTTCATTATTTAGAATTTTGACCCCAGTGTATAAACATTTGATTCACACACAGATTTGGAAATATGAAACAGAAAGGAAAAACCAACCAAGCTGTTTTTACTTAGCATTTGAAGACTATTAAAACAGGAACAAAAAGTCTGAAGTACATGGGGGAATGTTGCCTGGGGGAATCCAAAGGCTAAACGTTGGATATGTGGACACAATAGCTGCTCTAGCAACGGTGCTGCTTTAGAAAAATAGCGTCTTAAGCTAAAGTTCTTACTTGGACACGGTTCGGCGATGCACTTCTGAGTCTCTCTTCCACTTCCCGCGCAGTCTTTGCCCCCCAGCTGGGGCACAGGAGCATTGCAGTGTCGTATTCTGGTGATCTGTCCTTCTCCACACGTCACAGAGCAAGACGACCATGGTGACCATAAACTCCACCCTCCATCTTGGCGGACTGGGTTTAGTACATAACAGAGGTAGAAGTAATCAAAACCTATTTTTCATGGATTCCTGGATTTCCAATCAATGACAAGTTTATAACGAACACTGTCTGATGAAGGCAGTGGGTGCCCACTGTTACGTCCTCGTCATCTCTTCATTGGCTGGGATGCTGTGTCTTGATTGCACTAACTAGCCACGTCTGGGAATTCTTACTAAAGGCCTACTTGGTGACTTTGTGTTCAGTTTCTATGTTATGTAATGGCCCAAGGAGCTGGGTTGTACCACCACCTTTAAATATGTTTGCATCAGTATTTATGTTATTGTGGGTAAACTATCCCCTAGCGGTGAGGGTGATTCAGACGGATTTAGAGCAATGTAAGCTGCAAGCAACAACACACACCAATCCATTTACCTCTCAAATGCCCTATTCATCAGCCTCTGGCAAACACGAAGCACCATCTGCCCACCTCGTACAGAGCACATCCCATTATAAGATCTAAAGATAATTTATGTTTTTGCACGAAGAGCGGCGGTGAGTCATTGGGTTGTGGAACTTCCTCTCAGGCACTGATTTATTTGGAGGTGACTTTGACTGGGCACACCCCACAACCCAACCATAACGTCCAGCTCCTCACCCACATCCTGCCACAGCGCGATGAATCCAGATTTATGAAGATGAAAAGGATGAGTTTTTGTATTGCTAAGGACCCAAGCACATTTGTAACTGCAGTTTTGTTGTGTTTTCCTTCCCATATGTCATACAGGTGTTCATTCAAAGATGTAGGAGCAGTGACGTTCAAAAGAAATCAGCAAAAAAGACTTGTGGAAAATAAAATGTACTCACCCCGGCTGTCGCACCTGCCCAGGCTACATTTTCGGGTCTGGATAGAAGGTCCGCTGCAGGGGTTGCTGGTTGCATCACATGACCGGCCCCTCTGCTGAGTTCCTATCCCACAAGTGACTGTGCATTCGGTCCATTCTGACCAAGGGGACCAGCCATCCTCGCTGTCTTTAGCTGAAAAACAAACCCAATGTCTTCTCACTTTTGCACTTCTAAACAAAATTTTTAAGCATTGGAAACAGACGACTCCAGCTTTCAGTCTTTGTGTCACTCTGTTTATCAGATGACTTCATCTGAACAGCCCACACAAGCCATTCTCAGTGTCAATAAATATGTGGTTTAGTCCCACAGACAAGCTGGCTGCAGAAGTCCTGCATTATTAAAGTTTAATGTGGACGGAATACTCTTTTTATGGCAAGATTTCTCTTTAAAAGCATCTTTGCTACAAACTTTGTTCCAACTACTTACGCATGCACACAGGGCAGCACTCTCCATCTATTAACGAAGGGCTGGCACAAGCCACAGGTGGACACGTAATCTGATGGCACACAATCTTGGACTCCTGTGATCAATGAAATTTTGCAAATCTATCAAATGTATGTACAACCACGGTGGATTTGTGCAGTTCCACGTGACACGGCACTACCTGGCAGGTACATTTGGTGCAGCTGTCTACAACCCAGTCCTCCTTGTCTTCGAACAGACGTCCATCCTGCCAGCACATGTTTTTCTCCTTTGAGTCCTTCATTCTCCCCAGGGCCTCCTTCATGACTGTGTTCTCCTCTGTCTGAACACACAGCAGCAGGTTTGCAGTCAGGAAGCAGATCAGCAAGAAATCATTAACACACACGCACACACATAATAAATGCATATAGCCAATGGCAAAAGAGGTTCAAATGCAGTCAAATGAATTCCTTTAGGAGCATGTGTGCAGTTACACAAGGTAGGGAGAGGGTAAGTACAGGCTTTTCTTGTAGATCATTCATCCTCTTCATGTCAGTTTGACGAGTCGCTGTCTGAGAACAACAGCCTCATGTTTAATGTATCATCACTATTTTCTACAGTCTAGTTTCTATCCTTCTCACGGATCAAGGCTGCAATAGCAAATCTGCAAAACAAGCTAGCTTTTAAACACAAACACGATCAAGGAACACCCCCCAGAGTCAGAGAATGTTTTTTAACCCAACTGTGAGGTTCAACATAGCAGCTCATTTTAATAATAGTAGCTGTGGTAGACGTGTTTATTTTACAAGATAAATTCGTAAGGGTGCATCTAAAATCAATGTTGTGTGCAGTTGTATATTTTCCAAGGTAAATGGAACTTAAATGGTTGTGTGTGCGTGGGGTTCGGGGGCCACAAAGAGGGGGCCCACGGGCCGCACATGGGCCACGAGCTGCCGATTGAGGATCACTGGCCTACAGTTATCGCGAGACTTGTAATGTCTGCAACAGACGTACCAACACAGCCCCTCAGAAAAGGCAGGCAGTAGATATCCGAGTTTTACCATTTTATACGGCGAACGCATCCCGGGACTAAACGACTTAAAAGTTAGGACTTGACCTAATAAAATTGAAGACGCCTGGACAAAAATCCGGGCATTTTTAAGACTTTTTAAGGCCTTAAATTTAAATTAATGAATTTTAGACTTTTTAAGACCCGGCAGGAACCCTGCCAACATCTCTTGTTGTCCCTGACTTCTAAAAGTCTAGTCTAGTACTATATGAAGTGCCTTGAGACGACTCTTGTCGTGATTTGGCGCTATATTTAAAAAAAAAAGGGTGTTTTTCTTTTTGGGACTCTGGTAGTTTGTCCTAAAGTTGAAGTGGTAGCAGCCGGCTTTTTCTCCGTCTCTGACATTAATGAGCGGAGATCCTCTCACACCAGGGGTGTTGTGTTGCTAAATGCATGAATACGTAATGAGAGGAGTATCCAGGTAAACACTGAAGTGCTGTGGTTCGGTGAGACGGATCGTCCAGTTGTTGCTTTTGAACCGTGTTATTTGCTGAGGTTTTAAGACAAATGTGAGAGAACCACTTCATTTATTTTTTTCTCATTTTTTAAATCTCCACGGTATATTTACAGCTATACTATGTTAGAACGTTGATAGCAGGCGTGTGTAAAATGTTTTAAGCTAGCTTGTTTTGCACATTTACTATTGCAGCTTTAATAATTCCCTGCCAGGGGAAATCACCTCGAAACTTTCCTTCTCATCGCCACATTTGGATCATTTTTGCTGAAAAAAAAACCCCGACTCAGCCCTGATTACAATAACACTTTACTCCTCAAAGTTGCGGTTTAGTTGATTCTAACCTTCTTTCCATTATCTGCGGTTGCACTAGAAAGAAAACAAACTGCTGAGAAAAGTGCTGCTCAGTTATTCACATTACAACCTCCAACCCACTTGGAGACCCGGGGATCTCTGGCTGGACTCCTTGAAAATTTGGGAGCTGTCAGCTGATAAACCATTGCCAAAGATTTGAGCGTTCCACTATGTGCTTCCTCTTAAATGGGGAACCAGCACTAAGATTCTGAGACACCACTTGGTCTGGAAGAGCCTCAGGGACCCTTCTCATACCAGCCTCTGTTTTTTTCCCTAAGGTTCATGCCCAGACTCTCCTGTTGCTGGGAGCCTCCCAGAGGAAACACATGAACTGTTTAAACAAAGCCAGACATTAGACCGAACCGAGTCACTGCCAGGGGAACACTTCCTATGTCCACATGTTACATGCCATAAAGTCTGTCTGACTCATGCTGCCACAGATTGCAGGAGTCAAACGGGTTCAGTTATCACAGGCCGCTCTGAAAACAGTCATGTGGCTACTTACTATTTATTTTCAGACAGAAGTAGGTTACCTAGTAACCCAATTCAAACCTCTTACTCTCTGGCGATGGCACACGTTTCTTTTTAAAACACAGTATTTATTTATTTATTTACACAAAATCAGACATTTATCACTAAAGTCGTCTGCTCTAAAGCAAACACACCAAAGATGTATGTGTTTCAAGCTGTCCAACAAGACGCGACATTTGTCACTTTTACAACTTACCACTTTTTGCAAGCCGTCAATAAGATTGCTAACAACGACACGCAGGCCTTTGAGCTCCTGGAACATGGTGCTAAGTTCCTCACATGAGCGTTCACACATATCTGTGCCCAGGTCATCTGTCTTCTGACCTATGATGTTTGTAGTGGTGGAAGGCCTCACATCTACAATCTCTGTGCTCTCGCTCACAATATTGTCAGTGTCTGAAAGAAAAGTAAAAAAAAAAAACGGAGAAAGGATTTAGTGAGTTCAATCGGTAAATGCATGAACAAAAGTCTGGAGATGGGAAACATATCTGAGAGACATGATTGGCTCCAATCAAGAAGACTGTGATTGATTTCCTGTTTTCAGTAGTTGGCCAAAAGATCAAAACAATGAACATCATAAACTGTTTATTAGCTTCTCAGAACTGGTGTTTGATTCGAAAATGCATCTGTCTGAAATCCTGGTGGTAAATCCAATTTTACAGTATTGGCTGAGGGAGGATGAGAAGAGATGGCACCACTGAGCAGACATCTGGGTGGTTTTTACATAATCAAAAAAAATCATAAATCTCTCTGACCTTTTAAATAAGTGGAAAATTTCAACAGACTGGACCACACAAATAGAATTTCATAAGACTTATCAACCTCATGGCTACAGTCTTTGCAGCTCACTGGTGAAACAGAGATTACTTAAAGAGGCTTACAATTGCTGTGGTCTCTAGAGCCCTTTTTAGAAGACACACCATGCCAGCAAATCAGCATAATGCATTGTAATAATAGCGTTGAGGGAATTCTGCGGCATTTGTGCTGGCACGCTTGGTAGTAATATTACAGCAATGCTGGACTTGTGGATGCATATTACACATTGGTGCAACAGAGGGAGGTGTCATGATCACGTGGGGAGTCACTGCCGAACTTCGGCCGGCAACTACATTGAAATTGAAAGTAAACACTGGCTTTAAGTGTTTGGGGTTTTTTTGCACAGGGACTGTGGAGGACAGCGGCTTGTTAAAGAAACTCAATGAGCGCGGCTTCGATTGCAATAACAAGCAAGTTATGTCCAAGATAAACGGAAGTCCGCAGCAGTGCAGAGACCGCCCCCCATCCCCCTTTTATACCGCGATCGCGTAATCTCTTGTATACGATTCCGCCACATTACCGCCACCTAACGCTCTCAGATGCCGGGTCAGTGTTGCGGTAAATTGGCGACATTGCTTTCTAAAAGAGGCTTAGTACAAATGAACGCCTAGTGAGTTGTCATGAGTGGAAAAAACAGCTCTGGTACTCCCGTTTCAGCAAGTAGAAGTTAGCGAGAACAGTAGGGGAGGGCTGAAAATGGAAGGATTTAGAGTAGGGATGTACCGAAATGAAAGTTTGGGCTGATACAGATATCCCATATTAATATCGCTGTTTAGGCCGACAACCAACATTATATATATATATATATATATATATATATATATATATATATATATATGTATATATATATATATATATATATATATATATACATATATATATATGCTAGGGGCTGCAGAGGTTCCAATGGAGCATTTCTAGACAAAACTTTGCAAGGCAAGAATTTGGTCCAGTTCACTAGGCTAGCTAGGTATATTGTGCATTCTAATTTGGAGTCTTACTCATTAATATTTACGATACGATACGATCTACGATTTACGATATTTAAACTTCTCTCTCTGATTGGCTAACAGCAACGCAACTCTTCCACTGCCTCTGTTTGCGCTGCATCGTTGATGTTTTATCTCCACAAACATCACAAGCCTGGAGGATTTCTGCCATGTTATGGAGCTGCTATGAATGACAATTTATAATGTGATGTAGATCTGTGCATGGCCTTTTCTGACCCAAGCAATTGCTCTTCTATTTTCATTTGGTGACTTGTGCAGGAAATAGGGGTCAGAGATTATTTTCACATTCTGCATGCCTGTGAAATTTAGGATATTACATTTCAAAAGGCAGTATTGTATGTTCCTCAGTGAAGCTCACCTTTTAACTTTTAGCAAAATGTGTGAAAACCCAAGTTACTAACATAGCAGAACCTGGGTCTTCATTTCGTGGCACAGCTGTTAACAACGGGGTTTTTTAAAGGGCATAATGAGGCAAAATGCTAAGTTTGGTGTGCACAGTCAACACATCTGGAGCAGGAAATCCAGCCAAGCATAACGTGACTACCAGCTGGGATCTTCCCACAACACAAACAAGCAAAAACACAAGACACACAGCAGGACAGGGCAGCTTTTAGTAGCTGACTTTCACAGCAAACCTTATGAGGTAATTACCCACGGCTCCACCGCTTGCACCTTTCATTTAAGCCTCTTGCTTGCATTTCAAATAATTGGACTTTTATTGTAAAGGATATGGAAGTTATGAAATTTCCAAAATAAACAAAAGCTCTTGAGAAAAATAAAAAACGCTGCAAACCTGTACTTGACTGGCTTGGATCTCCTGTATGTAAATTGGTGAAGATTAATAGCCGATTAGGGACTGTAAATCAAGCAGTCATTCAAATTGCCAAGCAGTGTCGAACGATGTTTTATTTTCTCATCAATCTGCAGGATTCATTCAAATCTCAAGAGGACTCGTCTGTGAAAGCATTTACCCGTTCTCCTCTCCCTGATAGACATTTCCTATGTTGAAGAAAAACTTAGGGGGGAAAAGGCGAAGAACTGAGCTAATTTTAATGCTGCTCATTAATGTCCAGTGTGACAGTTTTTATAGTGTGTGGCGTGTGGTTTTATGGGTGATTCTTTGCATTAAAGTCCTACTGGTGAAGTAGCAAAGTTTGGTGACTTTTGTTAGACAAATAAACTCTTTCAGCTGGAATTCTTGAGGTAAAGAACATTACATCACAGCTATCTCTGAATACACCCAACTTTCTACACTGTAAAAATTTAATGTTGAATTTACTTAACACAGTAATGTCAATCATTACTGATCAGTCGATCATTTGCTTCTAATTCAACGTTAGCATTGTTAGCTCAACGTTAGCCTCTGGCCCGCTTTACCCAATATTAGAGCAAAACATAAAGATGCCGTGGCTTCGGAGGGGTACAAGTAAGAACTCCTGGGTCACTCCTGTTTACTGACTTTGGTTCTGTAAACAACTCTGAAGCTTTTTGCTTGCCACTGCAGATTAAGCAACCTAACAAACACAGATTATGAACAGTAACTTTTTCTCGCTTCAGTTTTTTTTATTTTTCAAAAGGACAAAAACTGACAACCCTACCAAGCTGGCTGAGAATTAAATCAGTTTCAGTATAACGTTCCTTCCAACATGATTGAAACGTTTTGTGATTATTTCACAGTAGAATTCATACAAATTGCACCTTTAAATGTTAAGAGTAATATACATTGTTCTGTGTTGCTGTGTTAAAAGTACATGTATATTACATTTGAGCAACTAGGTTTAATGGAACCAGCTGACTTAACTTGATTAAGTAAATTCAACGATTCAGTTTTTTGAGTGCAGATCCAATTTCCCGTTTTTGAAAACGGTTGCGTCTGACATGTGTTTGTAGCTGAAGCTTCTTGTTAGACCTGCTGAGGATCTCAAGGTCCTTATTCATTATGTGGGCCAAGCTTCATCTGAGAAAAGCATCCCAGTCGGCCAATTCATGACCTCACTGTGTATGTGTGTGAGCAGCTGGAAGTGGAAGCTCTCTGATCTGCAGCAAGGCCTTCACTCTCCCATTCTCTATTTTCTTTCCCAGGATATTATTCCTAGTCGACTGCCAGTGGAAATAAATGTAAGAATCTGTCTCTTCTGTTGTCCGCTCAACCCCAAGCCCATGGCATCCACGTTGTTATTTCTGAAACATAAAGATCTCACCACGTATCGAGTCTGCAGGACTTTTATCCTTATTACTGACACTAAAAAAAATAACTACATTCATCCAGAGTGGGTCGAAGGATTGTGCTAACCTCCTTGCTGTGGTTCATACTTAACAAAACACAGACATCTGTAGAGGGGGTCGCATGTGAAAGACTTTCCAAGTCACATCTGCAAGGTATCAGCCTTGGAACGGTTTGCGGTTATAACAAGTTTGACTTACTTTTGGGGTTCTGAAAATGGCACGCAAAAAAAAAAAATAATGGTTTCAGATGTACAGCAATAAACACTCCACTCTCACCTTGTTTCTCAACCTCACAGTCTCTGCTCAGGAGGATGTCTTCCATTGAGGTGTCGAAGAGGAAATGCACATTCTGAAGAAGGCCCTGTTATAGAACATATGTGGTTAAAAGTCTTTCTTTTGTTATTGTTGTGCTCAGAATCCAGCTTGAAAACAAACTTGTGAACAACACACTTTTTTTCCTCTCGTTTTTACACTTGGCGGACATTTAGGGTCCAAAATGAGTCTTTTCCGTACAAAAAAAGATCTGGGCAGCACAGATCCACCCTGTTATAATCTAAAAGAAGACTTTGTTAGTCTCCACTTTATTTCTGAACTGTTGTTTAAACCCAGCTGTAATAATAAGCTATGTAAAGACTGTGATTTTGCTTTAGAAGAGGTAACGGAGAGTTCCCCTTCTTTGACCAGTAAGTCTTACCCTAAAGTGGCTCTCCCGTGTGGATCCCTTTGCCACAAACATCCGGCTTCCCTCCGCTCGCAGATTTTCATAGAAAGGCTCGTCCAAGATGAAGCTGTCGATCAGGCTGCAGCCCACAAACAGGTTTGCATTCTCCCCGTGGATGTGAAGGGTGACATTCTTCCACTGAGAGTCTGACAGGTCCACATCCTCAAACGAGAATACGTTCCTCGAGCCGTCCACCCAGTACACCAGATCCAGGGTGTTGGCTCGTCCGTCAGATACGATCTCAAACTGCCTTCGACCATCAGGGCCGTCCAGACCGATCAGGGTGCCACGAGAGCCTCGATCCTGGCGGATGCTGGCGACAAACACGAAGCCTTCGTTGTTTTGGATCTGTCGTAGGATTTGTTTAAGTATAGGGGTGCTGACTGGAGGCAGGTGGTCGAAGCGTATGAAGCGGTAGGCTGGGGCATCTAGGTTCTGGCCCCGGAACTGCTTGGCTCCCAGAGTCTTGCGTGTGATGTGGCTTATTTCAAACAAGTCAAATGACATCTCATCCTCCTGCTCTCCATCTTTAACATCACACAAATAAAAATGGACACGTAGATTGCATTATGAGAAAGTTTATTTCATGTTATCTTCAAATCCTGAAACCGCAAAGGGTGACTATGAGTCTGAGGTATATGAAAATACTTTAAAACTTGGGAATGACAGTAATCCACATATTTGCACTCACCTTGGGGTGCTACTTGATGGAATGTAGATAAGAGCAACAAGAAGAGACTGCTCCTGAGTATCATTTCTCCTTCATAAAACAAATACCTTGTATTAGTTTTTGGTCCTTCCATCCCTTTATGCTCATTTTTACAATTACACGTAGCTTAGTGAGTGTGAAGAAAACTAAAGATTTTGTTGTTAAAATCAGAATTCTAGCTCATTAAATCGAGAAATATGGGTGAAAAATACATAAAAATGTTTTATTTAATGCAAAACTACAAAAAATAAAACATATCATTCATCCTGTGAAGCCCAACTTACCTGATTTTATTGATCAGTACAAACTCTTGATAGACATCCACAAACAAGGAAACAAAATAGGAATGTTCAAATCGAAAAATAATTCATTTGACGGTTTTACGCCCAGGATGAAAAATGAATGAAAGTGGTGGGATTTCCCGCAAATGCCGCGCGTAAAAAAACGCTGAAGTACACGTTCGGCTCACTCCATCCGCAGCCTGGAGACGCAAAGGCTCAGAAGTGGCTGAGGCTCCCTCCTCCCCCTCTCTTATATGTGGAGGCTCGCGGAGAGTCTGTCAGTCACCGTCTCCCGGGGTATGAACGGTTTGCGCTCGGTTTTGCGTAATTATCGTTTTATTTTATTTTCCCCCTTGTCGGAGCTGTGCATGGCCCCTCCCCTCTGGTCTCACACCTTGATGCCCACCAGTAAAAAAGCCGTCTGAGTCGCTGATTCCGTGCAAGAGAAGAGATGGATGAAACCACATTTTTGGTATAATCCAGTTATGTGTAAAATCTTACGTCAGAGTCAGAGTTGAGGTCAGGGGTGATTAAAAATCCTGCACATTGTTAGTTTCATTCATGCAAAGTTTGACATTTTCTTTAAAAAGTGTTTTGTTCATTGAAAACTGCACATGTCTTCAAACATGGCTTTTGCTCAGGTCCCTTCAGGATATTTTTCCAAAAATTTCAGGTCATTTGGACCTCATGCTATCATGGGTTGACTTGATCCAAAGAGCAGACATCCATGGAATCTTCTCTAAAGGCTACAAAAACCAGAGATTTGCAGTGAATGTGATGGATGTCAGTAAGGTTGATAAACAGCAGGATTTTCCAGCTCTCCTCTCCAAGCTGTGACTTCACTGTGGATATTTAAGTGTCTTCATCACACACACACACACACACACACACACACACACACACACACACACACACACACACACACACACACACACACACACACAATTTCACTTTCTTAATTCTATTGCCATCTTATCAGGAAGCTGCAAAAGCAACATTATTTACTTTTCACCCACAATTATTTACATTTCTTCACCTTCACTGGTATCTCTTTCGGAATTGTGGGTGCAAGAAGGAAAAAGTTAAATATTTGCAAAATGTCAAGCTGACCTACATCCATTTTGGTTCGTTTTGAACTTCAGCCAAAATGACTTAAAGCGCCCAAAGAGCAAATAGTGAAAGCTGTAAAGGATGCTGAGAATGTGCAAGTCACGTTCAACGTTCAACGTTAGGCTTCAAGAGTAAATCCTGAGGTGAGAAAAACCTTTAGAGCAGGGTGAACATTGCTCACAGCATCGGTTTCCATTTATGGTTTACTTTGTCAAGTTCATTTTATCTTTCTGCATCCAGGATGCTCAGAAAAATTCAACCACAGGCCAGATATTTTTTTATCTGTCATGTGCAGAACATACACACTTATGGTGGAGCAGATCTGTGACATATGCATCAATACCTCAGTAAAAATAAGGACATAAATATGATCCAAAACTTGCAGCATTTATGGCTCCTTCCTACTTTCTGCGGCTTGTCTCCGCTGTAAGCCAATATTCTCCCAGACTGTAGGGGGCGGCATGGGGCTCTATGGCATGCATCCAACACTACACCAAAGTAGAAGTAGAAATCCTTGTTGTTTACAACATTTTTCACTGTGTCCTTGTCTTTTCCGACTGTGACAGCAGTTATTAACAATATTTTGATCACGGTGATCTTTGTGGTCTGAATCATATTGACGTCTGTACTTACTCTGCCACTGCGAGTGTTTGCCAGTCCTTCATGCTTTTCTGTGCAGGACTGTCCGCATGTTTAGAAAATGTCCTCGGTAAAAATCTGGGAGACCCGATCTTATGTCTAACTGAACATAAAGATAATTTCCTCACAGGATCAGATGGATCGTCACAAGTAGCATATTACAATACTCAATCTGCTCGGCAGTGTTCTCATTTTGCACAGCAAAGCTCCCTAAATTATACTTGTATGTTATGTAATGAAGCTGAAAAGGCAACAGAGGAGCTAGAAAGCTGTGGAAAACATTTAAGCCAATCTGCACAGATCATTATTCACAAGATCGCAACACTGCAGGCCACTGTTTGACTTTTTGGCTTTCAAAGGCGAGTCCAACTGTGTTTCTGACATATCAAGGCAATCTGTTAGACACCCAGTACTTAAAAAAATATTTTAGGATAAATAAAACGAGAAGGTGAGTTTTATAACTATCAAAGATTCTAAAGGCATTCGATAAGAATCAGAAAAATCTGTACGGGCCACATGTTGGCTTTTAAAACGCCCAATTCCCATTTTAATATAAAAATGGCTTGCATACCTTGGCATACGAGAACTAATTCATCAAAGGAAAATGGCAAATGTTTGGCTTATTCTCCTCTCAAAGGTTTACAAGGGTTTGATTTGTTAATTCTTTGAAATCTATGAGCCGTGATTTCCACAATACAGACTATTTCCTACATGGTTGATATTGTGCTCTGAACCAATCAACATCACGCTCTGTGATTTATCTCAAAATAGGAATCTGCTGGGCCTTTATCTACGTGTTTAGCCAATATCATGACTTTAAAAGTACAAAGTGAGGGGATCTTTATTATTTCCTTTGTTCCCTTTGCATCTGTAGGGTGGCAGTATAAGAGAGACTCATTATATTGCCTGGAGGCTTAATGAGGGTCAAAAACAGATCGCCATAGTGATGTAATAAGGCTTAATACCAGATGTGCATTTGAACAATTCTGAAATAAAAAGGTTGGATTAGAGTTCTTAGCTACAAATAAATATAGAATAGTGCATACAATGGAAAAAATGAGAAGAGTTTTTTTCTAATTTAACTAACATACATATTTACATTTAGGTTAATGGCTAGGTGATTACATCTGAACACTTCCCGTTATACTCCTGTTTTTTCCCCTCACAGTTGCATTTTATTTCTGAGATGCAATCATTAAATAATGACTTCCAGATCCCCACGTTTCCTTTTTTTTTTTTTTTTTTTTTTTTTTTTTGCATTTTGGAGAAATAGAGTTTTAGTGAACCACAGTGAGTCCACGCACTGGGAAAACTTCAGAAATCAATGAGTTATTTAGTGAAAATATCAGCAAACGGCACTCAAACAGATCAGATGTGTGTGTAACGAGGACATGTTGAACAGAGTTGTGAGACTGAACAAAGTGAGGGTGAGATCGCTGCAGAAGAGAGGAAAAGAGGAGCAGGAGCTCTGGCTTTGGGTCCCTGGGCACAGAAGGTGCTGCAGCATAGCTGAAGCTCCACTGACTACACAAATTCATCCCGCATTGTTGTTGCTCACTGAGGTGAACAAACCAGGGTCACGTTTGAGTCAATAATCATGTTAAAGAACAACATCTACTCTGCAGTGGGGCTCCCGTCCACAGGGGTGGAAATTTTGGTAAATTTACTTCGGGACAAATTGGATTCACATCATTTCTGTGTTTCCATTCCTGCAACCTTTTAATCAAATGTGACATTTTACGTGGGTGAGTGCACGTTACACTTTCTATGTTTAGTTTGTTGGACAGCAACATTTTAAGGATAGCTTTCAAAGCAAAACACATGCTGCAACATTTAGGTCTTTGATTCAATAACTAACTTCTCATTATCTATCATCAGAAGGCAGGTGAGTAAAATTTGGCCTGTTTTTGTGTTTTCTTTTGTCTCTGTGTTAGAAAAATACCTCATGAACCACCTCACATCAAACTGAATGGTGCTATTTTCAAGATATAGCCAAAATTATGACCATTTAGGGTGAAGTCAGTTTCAAATTCTCACATCAAAATTAATCTTTCAAGCCTGTTTTACGCAGACTACCGTACGACTTCCACAGACCAAAAATCATTGAGTCCAATCAGAGAGGTGTGGATCTGGAGCTTCGGAAAGTTTCACATGAGTGTATGTTATTCAGGTGCTGCATGCTGATTGCCATGAAGTTAAATAAAGTATATGAGCCAGACAGGAAGTGTACCTATTTCAGTAAGGTACACCCAGTTTATTTCAAAATAAAACCTGTATCGCATTATTTTTGCCGGTGTTAGTGTTGTTATCAATGACAGCGATACCAGTTCACAATGTATGATAGTTCACATTTTTTACAGGTATATTTTAAAACGTATTGTGTCAAATTTCTAATCATTTGGTGCTTTTGTGTGAACAGACACTTGTAGACGTTAAACACAGGAACGTCTCCACGGTCAATGTGAATGGCAGTCTGTCCAGAAATATTATGGAAACTGGACCGCATTCGTGCCACATTTGGTTTGAAACAGGCTTTTAAATGTTTTAAAAGGTAAAATAAAATAAATGTTTATAAAAACTGTTAACAATGTTTTTCCCCAGTTAAAAAATAAATAATTTGATCATCTATTTTGTAATTCTTTACATTTTTTTTTAATTTTTAACAAATTTTCTACATTTTTCTTCTTTATTTGCAGTAAATTCCAGACCAGAACATTTTTTTCAAAGCTATAACATCCATCGTAGATGTTACTACATGACAAATAGACGTACATATAATTCACATTTTTACTTTAAATGGAGGTAGCTAAAATAATCTGTAGCAGTCTGGATTATTTGTTTACATCATCAATTGGAAAGAAGTAATGTGAGATTTGAAGAGTTGAATATTTTATACTCAATGACAGCGACTGGAACATATTAAATAAAGTTTTTGTGATTTGCTATTATTAGGAATTGTATTCGTAGGAAACATCTGGTATTTTTCAGGGACATCAGTCAGACTGCAATAATATTAGCATGAGTTAAAAACAAAATCAACAAATCAAAGAAAAAAATGTGGGGTTTATAGAAAACAAGAAATACTTTGGCGACACATAAAGTACTTGTTGAAAGAATCAGTTTAATATATTTTAGCAGGAGTTATTTTCAATAGGAATGATGTTGAGTGATGCCAAACAGCAATTATTTATAGCCTACGGATAAAGAAAAAAAAAACATCTGAGCTGCGTATATTGTCTAGTTCAGAAGAGAGTGTGCAGTACAACAGATTAGAAGAAAAAAAATCATAGAATACACACTGAGAATAAGTTAAGTTAGAAGGAATGCAATGTTCCAGACTCATTATTGACTCCAGGTTTGGATGCTGGCATCTTCTTCCTGTCTATACGCTGAAATTATTAACCATTCAGGGTTAAATCATTGTGATGCAGCCATAGCTTCCTGGTGAAATTCAGACTACTAAAATTAGAAATTTAGATTTTTCTTTCTGCTAAAAACCTTTAAAGAATAGAATATCCATAAAAGGGGACATATTATGACTTTTTCTTAAGTTAAAATAGTTGTATG